TCCTGCTTTCACCAACAAAACCTGTGTGAGATGGTATTTCATCAAGGCTGAATACTCCTACTTTTTAAAAAAGAAAGCCCATTGCAGCTAGTGTAAATTTTGCTACTTAGCATTATAGTCTTCTCTTTAGTAAGATGTGAGTTAGCTTAGCTTTCTCATCTTGTCATGTCCCAAGGTTCAGAGACTTTATAACACTGCAATACTTTAGTCTTGTCCCGGTGCTGCTCCTTACTCTTAAAAATATTTCATTCCCTAAGTACCTGTTTTACAATCCAAACTGCTAGAAGAGTTCACTGTCCAGAAGAGAGAAGTTAATGAAGTGTCTTTTCACTAACAGTGAATTTATCAAAATCTATTTTAAGCAAGTGGAAATAGTAAAGGTCTTTTGAGTTGTTTGCTAAGTACACAGAAGTCTGCCATCTGGCCAAGATGGCCAAGATTGGCCAACTCCAATACTCAAGCCTTGCAAGGATGTCACAGAATCACAGAATCACAGAATCACTCGGTTGGAAAAGACCTCTGAGATCACCAGCCATTCCTGTCTACCCCCTAAACCATATCCTTAAGTACTTCATTTACCCGCTCTTTAAATACATCCAGGGATGGTGACTCCACCACCTCCCTGGGCAGCCTGTTCCAGCTTCTGACGACCCTCTCAGTAAAGAACTTCTTCCTTATCTCTAACCTGAACCTCCCTTGGCACAGCTTGGTGCCATTTCCTCTTGTTCTATCCCCCATCACCTGGGAGAAGAGACCAGCACCCACCTCTCTGCAACCTCCCTTGAGGTAGTTGTAGGTGGTGATGAGGTCTCCCCTCAGCCTTCTCTTCTCCAGGCTAAACAACCCCAACACTCTCAGCCTTTCTTTTTATCACACAAGAGCAAAAGGATAAATTCACCTCGTATTCAATCAGTGTGTATTGAAACTGTCTACATGAAACTAAATAATGTGCTTTCTTTTCCTCATGTATGTGCAACTGTGATTTTGTTATTTGGAAAATAAACTGCCATCGTATTTCTCTTCATTCGGCAAACAAACATAGTTACATTATCAGTGTTTGTTTTCACTTCCCATTGCATGGGAGCAAGTAATGCAGAAATGTAAAGTTCTGTATTACATTATGAATATGAACACACAACCATCAGTCAGCCTCTCCTGCTGTGTATGTCCAAGAAACTGGCATGAAAAAGCTGGATCCATTTCTGCTGTGATCAGTTTTGTACTGCTTTTTCCTCATTGTGCCCTGTTGCTGTTTTGCATTTTGTACTCTTCATTTTCACTAACTCAGTTTAAACCAATCTGGGAATAAAAGTAACTAAAATGAGAATAGGAGCCAGATTTCAGGGGAATAAGCCCAATTTACATTATGTGTTTCTCTGAAGTGAAGAACACTGGCTGGAATTTTCAAGCAGCTGCAAGAAATATGTGAGATAAGCTTTGTTCTTGTCTAATCTGTTTCCTTCATTGCCTGAAAATCCATCAGGAGAACTCTGATATAAATTTTATAAATAGCAGCTCCCTTGCCACATATACTGACAGTGCTCGCAAATATCAGAAACATTCTTGTCGACTCGCCAGGTGGGGGTCTGAAAGAATTAAGACAGCTTAGAAGACTGGGCAACTCCTATGCTTCTGCTTGCTGTTAGCTAGTGTGTTCAGTGCATCAAAAATAGCTAGCACCATTAGTTAAGTGCAAGTCTTAGTTACAATATGAAAAACAGATAAGCAGCCTCTGCCATCACAGCAGCATGGTGCTTAATGGCTGCTTGAAGGTACCATATAATCTTTTGGATGGCTTAATTGTTCCTTCGTAGTTCAAAGGAGAAGAGTGGTTATTAACCCTGGTGTTCTCACAACGTTTCAGAGTAGAACTTCACTGAATAATAAGTGCCCCTTAGATTACTAAGGACAGGGTCTATGGTTTATATAGCACTTGCTGTTGGAAAGGTAAACAGAAAGGAGTGTTCTGACCCTCATAATCTTATAGGATTGTGTTTGAGGAGCATGAAATTCCTTAACCTTGAACAAGCTGAAATATCAAATCCCAAAGCACTTACTGCTAATCAAAAACCAAAGAAAAGCAGACAACATTGCTGACAAAGTATTTTTTTCCAGTCATCATTTCATTTCCATCTAATTATTCATTTTAACTACTTTTGAAAGCTCTCATTTTCTAAACAGCATTGTTTTTAATTAGCAGGGGGACAATAAATAAGCAGAAGTAACTGGTGGAAAGGGTATAAGATTTCTCAAATATGTCACTTGCCCGAGTGGTGAGAAACTGAAGGTTGTCACCATCTGATGTTTGTTCATTGGTCTGTGTAAAATGAAGTGGTGATCTTAGTCCCATAGGTTGGAGAACACTTGCAGCACAGACGGCAGTAATTAACATTGCGGACAGCCTTTATAGCTACGCCAAGAACTGAATAGAGACGAAAACGTAATTTACCTTCTTTTATCCTTAAAGGTTTTGTTCCTTCATGTCAGAGTTCAGTCAGACTGGAGGAGCAGCTAAAGGAATTTGTTTTATCCGGTGCCCACATGATGCTTGTTCTTTTCAACAAAGCAAACATTTCAGCTTCTAGAGCCAGCAAATCAAGCAATGCATACAAACATAATCCCTTCCAAATAAAATTGAAGTCCAACTTAGATAACACCAACAGATAAAAAAAACCGACACCTGTAAAGGAATGATAAGAAGTTGATAAGCATTGATAAAAGTAGAAGTGAAGCAAAAGGCGATATTTCTATGGCACCCTTCTTTGTCATATCTTTAGCTGTACTAGAACTATAGCCTCAGTGAAATTTGTCCATGCGTGAAAGTTTTCCGCACCACAAAACTCAAAGTGGAGATAACTGTCAAGAATGCTCACAGATATTTCTCTAACTTTTTCAGTTCCGCTTGCTTAAATATTTTCTGAGTGTAGACTCTTTTGTAGTGAATTTAAGCCAGTGGTCATATACTTCGGGAGAAAAGGACTACATCACTGCAGGAAAAGTCAATCTCTGGCCAGGAACAGGCTGGCAAGGTTACCATGTGGTGGTTAAATGAATTTGATGACATGTTGAATTATGCAGATTTTGTGGACCAGAAATGCCACTCAATGGTTGCTACAGGGATCAGAAATCAACCTGTTGTGTAAAATTGTCAATTAATTTCTTGGACCTGGCAGAGATCATGAATTTCAAAGAAGTTTAGTTTGCCAAAACACCAGGTGATTGAAGCTTAATCCTCAAAACTACAATAAAGTGCTCTATAAGGAATAGATACACTGTCTGATTATTGACATGGTATGTTTCTTATTCTAGGTTCTGTCCTTAGGGGCTGATGTTCTACCAGAATACAAACTCCAGACACCTCGCATCAACAAGTTTACTATATTGCACTATAGTCCTTTCAAAGCCGTTTGGGATTGGCTCATCTTGTTGCTGGTAATATACACGGCCATATTCACCCCTTACTCTGCTGCCTTCCTTCTGAATGACAGTGAGGAACGGAAGAGGAGAGAATGTGGATATTCTTGCAGCCCACTGAATGTTGTAGACTTAATTGTGGATATTATGTTTATCATTGACATTCTAATAAACTTCAGAACAACATATGTAAACCAGAATGAAGAAGTGGTAAGTGATCCAGCAAAAATAGCAATTCACTACTTCAAAGGCTGGTTCCTAATTGACATGGTTGCTGCAATACCTTTTGACCTGCTGATTTTTGGCTCTGGCTCTGAAGAGGTAAGCTTAAAGGAATAAGAAAGCTTAAATCTTGAGTTTTTACGTTACTACAGTAGTCTGTACGTCCTCGTATTTTTTGCTCGTCAGTTATTAAGCTGTGTAGAAGTTCCACCCCATCTTTTAAAGTTAAAATAAAATTAAAACTCCCTGAGTAGAATAATGTCGAATATTAGCTTTCATTGACAGGGAAGCAAGTTGAACAATTCAGCTAGTACTTTTCAGTTATCCTATATTTGATACTATCTTTACAAATAATGAAATAAATATATAATGTATGAAGGATTTGTGAAATGCTTTTATTTAAGAACTGCTCCTTTGATGTGCTGCTTACTTTGTAAAAACCACTCATAATGTGTATAACTGTGTTGGTGTTAATGCATTAATATAAATTTTCTCTGTTGAAAATCTTTAGATGAGATTTTTTGCTCAGTGTAAACTAGATTTGTTGTAGTGTAAACTATACCAGTTAACAAAAAGCTTTGGCTGTTGTCTATTTTATCAAGAATATGGACTACCAGAAGAAAGAAAAAAAGATAACATAGGGTTAACCTTGCCAGACATGACTAATGTCCTCATCCTATCTGTACAATAGGTTAAAAAAGCGTTCAATATATGCATCCAGAAATTGCCCAAAGGTATATAAAGCATACACTATGTTCTGGATGCCTGACCCAGTTCTGCCTCCTGCCAAAGAATTTATTTAATTTAAGAAGGGCTAAAGTTATAATGCGTATTTTGATGAAAAGTGAGCTGACAAGTAGAGAATTGGGGGTTTTGTGATGCATAGCATACAGCAATCTAAAATAAAAAAAACCAACCCAGCAAACCAAGCAAAATATGATCCATTCACTTTCCAAAAAAAGCAAATCCATTTCTTAAAATTACTGTTTTGCACACATTGCCATAAGGGAGGCAGACAGTTTTGTTGACCATATGTGCCTCTCACTAATTGAAAAGAGAAAGGTGAAAGCTACAAACTAATCAGCAACCTTTAGCATGAAAATGTTCTGATCTGTTTGCCTCAGTGTCATAATACAGAGAACGCAAACATGTTTTCATTTCAACCCAAAAGCCTGATCTGAATTCCGAGCATACCCTAGCTACCCTCACAAACTATATGTAAACCTAATTAAGTATGCCTTTAAGGGTCAGTATAAAACAAATGGCACGTACCTACAAGCACCCTGAGAGTCTTGTGAGTATATTCAGTCTTAAAATTTCAGAAGTAGGATGAATATTAGTCACGCTTTTCTTAAACTCATTTTCTTAAATTTTATATAATGAAAACGTTTCACTGTCTCCTGTACTTCTGAAAACTCATTATAATAATGTGTTCTAACTCAGCAGTCACAGAAATCAGCAGTAACTTCCCTAATAAATAGTGATACTCCTACTAATTTGAACATGAGCACACACATTCAAGGTAAATGAGGAATCTGGAGGAACACATAGGTAATAGCATGCAATAGAAATAAGTTTTGTTGAATGACTGAAATAAGAAGAGAGAGAAAACATAAAGGACAAAGGGAATATGTTAATAGTTGTCTTACCAAAAGAGAACTTTTCTATTCAGAAGGTAAATAAAAAGCTCAGAGATTCAACAGAAACTCTGCTCACCTCTTGCATTGATTATCTGTGGTAGGTCTCAGTCTTTCTGCAGATATTTTTCTGCAGTTTTGACAGCGCACACACATAAAAGATTTTGACAGTGGTATTACTTCTAACTTGGACCACATCATTCCTCTTCAGGTGTGGTCTGAATCCCTTTCTTGTCACTGAGCACTCACCACTGCCAGAAATTATGTTCAGTGATTGGAAGTGTGGCACATCAGTTACAACAGGGACTAATTCCAAAGTTCACTGAAGGACTGCTCTTTGGATTTGACCCTGAACATCATTCTTCCACACCTCCTCTGTTAAAGATGTCCTTAAATGTAAAGTGCCGGGTGCTGAAGTGATGCTAAAGGGATAATTTGGACATAAGATACCGTTACAGTTTACTAGCAAACAAGTGCATTCGGAAAGGTGAGTACACAAATACAAAAACGTGGAACCTGGAACAGATATTATTGGGCCATATAGTGACTTTTTCAGTATTGTAGATATAAGTACATTAATTCTTTGTTCCCTTGAAGCCTAGCAATTGAACAGTTTCACTAAATAGAAAAATTTTGTTTACATAAGCAGCAATGAAGCTATGCAGATTATTACCAGTACATCATGCTATTGTGACTTCTCTCTCTCATTCATGGTATTGAATATGTCAGTCATTTTTTCTAAGCTTCTGCTCGCTGCAGTTTTTCTTCCTACGTTAGTAACTATAGTATTTCCCCAATTATTCCTTTTTGATAGTTTAGCAAGAAGAAGCAAACAAAACTGTTAAATGGAGCATTTTTCATTTAATGGGCTTTTTTTCAGTCAGAAGGGTTATATATTTTATGAAATAGCCCTTTTTTGTTATCTAGAGATTCCTCAAATAATATCCCCTACAAACAATTGTATTGAACAGTCTTTTTATTGTACACAGAAGCTCTGAAGAGAGCTCCGTGTGTGCTCACCCAGCTTTAAAACACCTTGATATCAAACCGAGTCTGGAAAGGGCAGGAGATAATAATCCAGATACCACATGTGGTACTATCTGAATGCTTCCATTTGAGCCATACTTTGTCAACCATAGGAAAGCAAGAGAGTAAGACAGTTAACTTTCCAATTTCTAAAATAAGGAATTAATACATTTAATTTTTTTACTGTTTAAGCAGACTCAACATGAAATTACTATGGCTGGTAGTAAACCGTTCTGTCTTTTTTGTGTATTTTAAATGTTTAATGACATCCCTGATACTGGGGAAGATAAAAATCATGAGTAAATGAGCTTTTTACTTTCTGTTCTTTTGGCAGTTTATTTTTTACCTTTCTGCTCAGCTGAGGAGTCTGGGTTGGATTTTAAACAAATAGTAGTTGCAGTGGCACAGCTCTTTAAAGCACACACATAGGTCATGTGCATATACAAGTGGAATTATGCTTACGGTTACTAGACATTTTTAAAGATGTGCATTTAGAATAATGCACTTTTTAATGTATTGATCAGCTTTTCACTTCAAAGACAGGTATACTGT